TTCTCTAGAGTAAAATATGAGAATAGTTATCGTATTGCATTCTATTCCGGCAAATGTGTTGCTTAGCCTACGTTTTTAGTTCCATAAATCCTGGTGTGTTTATTATGCTATAATATATATATATCTAGACCTAGGTCTTAATGTTTTAATGTAAAGGCCTAAGTTAGGCTATATTTTATTTTTAAGAGCACGGCAATGAAATTCACAGTATTCCTTCTTTAGCCTGGTTAACCAACTCACGTTATAAAAGCTGCCATCCTTTGGCTCCAGGACATAGACCTACATTATGCATTTTAATTTATTTTCTAGTTTGATTCTGTCATTATATTTGTTGTATGTGTGAAAACAAATAAAGCGGGTAGCGCCTTGTTTTGACTAACGATGTTATTTTTTAGCTCAATCTAGCTTTTTCGGGTGAATGAAGAGTAAATGTTTTCATCATAACGATTTTATTACATTAAAAATGGGTTTAATATTAATTTATTAGTTAATTTATATTTTAACTGTTTTCAATTTTTCCTTTATTTTATAGCATATCTACAGAGAAGTATTTATTTTACCATTTTATTTTTATCAGTATTTCAGATATATTTTTATATTTAATTGTTTTAAATGTTTAATCAGATATTTTAACGCTTTTTATTGTAATTCTTTGTGTGTATTGAAGTTCTCAAAATGACCAGCTTCAGCTGATTGAAACACCAACAAAACATTGCTAAAATTAATAAAGTAAACTAAAAAAATACGACGAGAATTTTCGGTTATCGTAACAATGTGGCATTATTACAAAAATTAGCGACTATTATTTATGTAGCTTTTAGTAATTTTAAGTTAATTAATTATTATACTATTTAACATTTAATGAAGGCATATAAGCCTACATTTTTTAATTGATTAAGTACTTATTTAAAAATACAATAGTATATTCATTATTAAATTTACTGTAGTCAAGACAGCACACGACACGACAAAAGAAATATTGTAAAATTTGTTATAAAGGACTGCGTCCTGTTCTAAATAGATAGAGTAGGCCTACCTGTGGTGCGAATCGTAAACTTAAATAAATTTCGTAATTTTACACAGATTATAAACCATAACGAATTGAAAGATAATTATTATACTTCATACAGTCTATATTAATCACTCTCACTGGAAAAGCTTGCGAAATAGTGACTATTCCGCAATGATCGACAATATAGCCGAGTCTTGTGTTATATCAGTTAAACGCATGAAATATGCTTAGGCCTATACTTAATCAGTACCGGTAAGGTACCTTACAGTAGCTATCTATTCTACTCCAAACTGTTGGTGATATCGATAACAAAATAGGTATGTGTACTGCATATAGGGCTACATAATATAATCATAAATGTATGTAGGCCTATGTATCATAAACCATACACAATATAATTAAGACAAATTCTTAAGCGCCTGTTAAAGCAATAAAATACTGGTCACCAACTAGTATATATATATATATATGTATATATATATATATATATATATATATATATATATATTGTAAGGGTGAAGGCCTATATTGGGCTTTTGCATAAACAGCAGAAGGGTCCCGGGTTCGAATCCCCGTTGGGGAAAGTTTTGGTTCGCACTCGCAAATTCCTCTTCTTTCTATATAGGCATATATGTATAATGCATTGCCACAAGATGATTTAGAGTTTATCTCTG